TAAAAAAAATGTTTTAAAGAAAGAGAAAAAGAATAAGAGAGAGAAATAAAAAGATATAAGAGAGAGAAAATAAAGAGAGGAGAAAGAGAAAAGCAAAAAAAAGTAAACAACATAAAAATTTCCTAAAAATAAAAATTTCAAGCACAAAAAGGGAAGTGTAAAAGGATTTTTTTTATTAAATTTGACTTTCTATAAAAAACAGTATATTATATATTATAATATCAGATAATATATTATTACTATTTAACTGCTTTTACATAAAATTGAACTGATATCTTATGATCTAATCTATAGAATATTAACTACTATACTATAGATTCACAAATAAATATTTTCTTTTTTTTTTTTTGATTTTGATTTATTATATATTACTTTAAGTAGATATTTGTAATTGTTTAATATTATCTTTGATATATATCAATTTTAATATTTATTTTCTTTTATTACTTAAATAATTTTTTGTAGATAAGCTAATATCAAACTTATTAATTAGTTGATTATATAAGAAATATGATTACTTTATTCATATATTAAATCTTTATATTTTTTACAATTAATAAAATAATAATATTTATTTACTTAAAAAAATTTATTTATTAATTATATATATATTGATTTACATTAAAACTTATTTTTAGAAATTTGATATATGCATCAAATTATTTATTTTTTTGTTAAATGGTTATATCAAACAAATCATTTTTGATTAGGAATTTTTTTTTAAAAAATGAAATATGTACAAAGTATATAATTTTTATTGATATATTTATATATCTAGATAGATATCAAGTGTCTCTACAAATTAACTGAAAATCAATTGGTATAAACTAATTTGTAGATTAATATTGCCTAATACATATATTGTTATAAAACTAGTTATATCAATTACTTATAATCCAACTATATATTCATTTAAACATCTGAAGATGTGTCTACACATCAGGTAGGACTTTCTGCAGGGAGGAATCCTATTGCTAGTTTAAAATTCACCTAATCTATTAAGTCCATATTGCAAAGAGCAGTATAGTATAGGATGCTATTATAGAGATTAATTCTAGTTATTTCAATCACCTGTTATCACTGATTCTTAGGATATGCCACTAGTATAATATAGTACTACTGCTTTTATCACTTGTGAAACTGGTGTCCTTGCTTGGATTCTAATTAATCTTAACAATCCTTATCAGATATACTTGGTTTTATTGATTTTTGTCTGAATTGTTACCTCTTGTGACTGATAACCTTTAGCCCTTTTGGTCCATTTAAGTTCAAGAGAACATTACTCATGAAATAAATCTTCAAGTTTCAGATTGGAATAGATCAGTTTAGAATTAATCTCTTTGGGTTGTGTGATGGAATCTGCCATCACCAGTTTGAATTGAGATTTTTGTAAGCTTTTATTGGAGTTAGACTAGAAACCTTCCTTGTGCAACCTTCCATGCTTTGACTTATTTTCAGCCTGCAATCATCAAGAAGACCAGAGATCCCATTTATGCAACCTAACTAAATTTGAATGTGATTAAGGATTATTAGGTATGACATATGCAAAATATCCAGTAAACCTACATATGAAGATAAATTCACTTTTTACCTCCTGTGGGTATTGAACTAGGGACATGCATTTGGTGACCTGGAAACACTACCCACTCTGCTATTGACCCACAGGTCCTCATTTTTGACTAGGAATTCTTATTGTAATAATTCGATTTTATTTAATGAACAATAATTTTATTTTAATTTAAAATTAAAAAAATATTAGTTACTTTTTAAACTATTTATTTATTGTATAATTTATCCAAATACATTATATTTTAATTAAAACCACATCTTGTAAAACGTTTACTGGTAAATTTTAATAAATCATCAAGTCCATTTTAAATTTATTTATAAGAAATATTATTATTCACAAGCACCACGTAACAAATCTGTATTTTATTATAAAGCAACAGTTATTTTGAATTTCATAAATTCTGTATACACAATTGATTATCTAACTTCATTGTAAAATAAAAGCAGCAGCTTAATGCAATAAATTTTCGTTTTTTTTTCTAACATCCCAAGAAGGAACATTAACAAGCAAAGCGCCTGCTACATATATAGATGCAGATGTTGCTTCGTTCCCATATGCAATATACGTACTAGCTTCATTCCATTCCGATGGACGATTACACCAGATAATCTCTCGGCGTATCCTGGCATCACATTCTTGTTTTATGATTTGATATTCACTCCTTTCATCCTCATATTCATTACCTCCACCAATAAACTCATCACCCACCAAGAGAACCTTGCGGTTACAATATGACAGACCATAGTCATGATTGGTCTTGTGTCGCCTTTCGGGAAACTCATCGTCACTATCCTCACTATCGTCTTCTATGGTATCGGAATCGACTTCATAGACAGCCTTAATTTCAACATTAAATCCCATATTTCG